TTTCCCAGACTCTGTTTGCCAACCGCGGTTGGACGACGCGTCGCGACGCCGGATACGGAGCCGGTGATTTGAAATACGGGCACGTAGACGCGAAGAATATCGGCGCGGCGCGCGATACATACAATTTATATCGCCGACCCGACGCGCACACGGGTTATAGCGTACATGAGAATAAACGTCCGTGTGCGCCATCGGGACAATGATAAAATAATAAATTGCGGCCCGGTACCGCGATGGTCCTATAACCGTGGGGAATCGAATCGAGTTCCTTTTCGTACAGAATCGTACTTACGCACGTGCCCGTTACGCTGGTACTCGAATACGACCCCGATGTATCTGGCAATATTGCCCGGATACATCGCCGTTCACTCCTTAATGGATACGGCGAAACGTTTGTTATTTATGCGTGGAAACGTGTCCTGATATCAAATATCATGCTGATACTTTGGAAAAACACACAGTAAGAATCGTATGTACAATTTAACACGGGAATGTTATATCTAACGACGTATAAAGTTTATCATATAAAAATGTTATTGTTTTATCATCGACAAAATTCTAACATTTAATAATGTTTTGTTATGCACATTTCAAGTTCTTTCCCTCGTAGTGCTACAGATTCGTATAGCGCCACAGATTTGTAACACGCAGTTTTACGCTGTACACGGAGAGAATTTTTTCTTAGAATTTACCCTAAAAATATGACAGTCGTGGAATAACATTGTATTTCGAAGAATTTTTTAATGTAAATCTCTCTCATACATTAATAAAACTACAATAAAGTATAAAATAAGTTTGATCGAGCATTTTACCGTGCATTTTAGTGCACGGTAAAAGTCTTTAAAATATTGCTCGTACCACAATTACCATATTTTGAGGGTAAATTTTAAAAGAAAATTCTCTCCGCGTAGCTTAATACATTATGGTTATACATGACTAAGTCAATATTAAAAATTAAGACTATCTATGGATTCTGTCGTACAATGGTACATTGCATAGAATATTGAAATCGTATATTGAAAGTTCAACGAAACTTTACCTGCTTGATTTCTTCTACGGAGTATCCATTTCTCCGAAGCGTTTTGTAAATAATGTACAAATTTCTTTCCATTCTTTCGTTTTTATAGCGTATTGCTATGTTCTGTAATTTAATGTTCCAGATAGCAGGGTGAGTCTCTATTTCTATTACAAAACGTTCAATGTCGAATGTGGCGGCATTCTTTCTCGCGCGGCACAAAAGAGATTTTCTCTTAAAGTCTACAGTATAAATGTATCATTGTATGATATTAGTCATTAAATAACCTTAATTTTTTCATTTTGATTTATAAACGTACAACATAAAACTGCGTGCTACAAATACCAAATATGTGGCATTATTACACGAATCTGTATACTATACTAAATAATTCTGTCACTCGTAAAGAACTATGGACCTGTGACGCGTCCTTGTGGCGCCGCGAAATGATTCATTTGAACGCATCCGCAATACTTCTCTATCATGCCATGAATTGGTCCATCTGAACACAATCATACAACGTACAACAATAGGTTTTACTCGACTAAATAATTATTTTTCTACAATTACACGCCATCGATATATTATGAATATCACAGCTGCAGTATTTCCTGCGAATTACGAATAAAATTACGGTACTTTTATTCCTTGATGGAGAACCGGCTCTAAAGCAAATTATCATAATACGCCGTTACAATGTCGCACATTATCCGCACGTTTACACCGCGAATTCCAGGCTAGATAATTTCAGCTCTCGAACCCGAACAGCGATGAGCTTGCGCTCGTAAAGCTGCATTCCTCAATATCGTAAATATCGTATACCGATCGACATTCGCATATTTTACAAATAATATCAGTTTATTTCCAATAACAGTATTCTCTTACGCGCTGCTCTACTGTAATCTTTCCAAAAAGATACATCGTATAAGAGTCAAATGCAATGAGGTGCAGATAAGTATATCTTATCCAAAATTGAAAAACTTTGAAATGTAAAAGTTGGAAATAATATTCAAACAGATTTTCGATACTTTTTGGAGCGTAATAAATGGAATGGAATCTATAAAAATTTTCTTGTCACGATTTCCTAGGACTAATGCAGCCACCGTATTATCGATTATTATGCAGCCGTTGGCAAATGTTCGTGCATTGATTCCGTAATATCCGATCAGTGTTAGATAATAATCGTTATTGGTATAACACGCAGTAATACATTTCAATCTCAGATTATCGATATCAATTATCATGCCAAGTTGCATCGACTAATGTTCTCGTGGAACAAATCAACGATGGAAGAAACACAGAGTTTTAACCCTCTAATGGTAGGTCAGATGTAATCCTTACTTGACGGTTTTGTCAATCAAGGCCTTTTTTTAATTATTATTATAATCATTTTGCCAGTTAGTAAACTTTATTGTATTTTTTCATTTATAAATAAACAGAAAACTAGAAATTCTATTTGGTCTCACCGAAGTGCCATTCTTGTTGGGTTCTTTTGTTGGTTTAATCAGAACATTGGTTCATATATAATTTTTTCAATACATAATTATAAAATCGCATATTTACGATGTTTGGAGAACGCTAGCCGGTCTCAAAGTTGGTCATTGTTCTTCAGACGGTGTATGGTGACCTACGTGAACCGCATTTCCCCGATACCGTAAATATCACGCGTGTCGGCCGATATTTACGTCGGCATAGCTCGTATATTCTGGAGTACCTGCGACCGTTCTCTCGCGAGGGAACATTGTGCGTGTCCGTGTGTCACTATAAACGAGAGGGAGGGGAAAAAATATCGCGCTGCAAGAAAAACGATGTCCGGCGTGAGAGACAAAAAGAACCGCAGGATAAATCGCGGCATTTAATCGGACGCGATGCGTGACGTTTGACGATGACACTTCCGTTACGCGTGTAAAACGCTGTATGGGGCGAGTAAAAAGAGTCGCACGAGAATCTCTGTGTACTTTAAGGACGTAAAAAACGGATGAAACTGCTCCAAAAGAGTACTTCCTTTTAAAGAACGGTTCTAAGAAAAATTAGAGCCAGTTATCTTGGAAGAGTAATCTCTCGACATAGTTTAAGTACTTTGCTATAATATAATCCTTTTGTAACTCTTTTTTTCCTAAATTAAACGAGAAGCTGAGAGCGACAGTTAACTTGAGTGATTTTTAATTTGTTCTTTACACATCTCTCTTGAGTTTTGATCTCAAATTAAAATTCATCATCAGGAAACATCTCGGAATGTTACTTCAGCGTCAACGGGAATCGTTTGCTTTCTGCTCGCGGCGCCAATTAACGCACACCCCGTATACGCAATGTCTACGTGCATTGGTGCGTGTAGTTATATCGGGCCAATATCCGTTATTCTTTCTCTCTCTCTCTCTCTCTCTCTCTCTCTCTCTCTCTCTCTCTCTCTCTCTCTCTCCGTCTTTCTCTTTCTCTTGTACCAGCTGTCGTGGGCGGTGACGATATCCGAGCACTCATCGGAGCGACTTTACGCCCGCGGTGAAGCCGGTGCGGGCACGATATGAAATTGAATGAAACGCACTGTCCATAAACTGATCCTATCGGAAGTTCTTCACGGACATGAACGACGACTCTCGCTTCCCGTTAGCTGTGTTCTTCCCGATGATCGTTGGTAGCGATTATCCTAGAGATTTTCTCGAAGATGCCGACGACAACCGAGATGACGGACGGGTGTATAATCAATCTCGGATTTCTTCCGAGGAATTCGAGAAAGATCAATGAGATTTGTAACGTTTTCCACTGGGAAAACTGGTGCAGCACTAGCGCCGTGCTAGGTTTAGATGAAAACTGCACTAATGCAGTAATAGTGCAGCTTTAGTGCGGTTCAATGGAACATCCATTTTATAACACCCCTAAAAAATATAACTATGTTCAAACTTGAATTACTTATTTTACAATATTTTGATTCATTTATTTATTTAAAACGTTTTCTTAAATTAAATTTTTATATTTCAAGAGTTTTAAACGTCAAAATGTCGCATTGCATAGCTATTATTAGAAACATTGAAACTAAACAATGTCATTGTTATAACATTAATTACAACAATGTAACATCATATCATAACGTAATATCATATCCTTTGCACGAACACAATCCTCAATTTCAACTTGCATCGGTCTCCACTGACTTCAAAGACAGTGGAGCAAAAGTTGAACTCGGTGCAAGTGTTTTGCACCAGTTTTATCAATGGAACATTAAACACTGAACTAGTTTTCACAGTGAAACAACACAATTGTACTTAGTCTTACTTCGTCAACTTTTAGATTCATTTCGTCATATCAGAGAATTCATTTCTGTAAAAGGAAAGAGAGGAACAGGGAGATGCTGTTTGTAAAAGATAAAGTTTGAACACGGGAAAAGTCAATTCGAGAGAAACCTTTTTCGTCAGCGTGATAAAAATTTTCATTCCGGCGTATCGAGAGAAATCTTATTTGCATCAGTTGCGTTATCGAGAAACGCTTTACTACATCCAGAAAAAAAGGCATAGATAAAAAGCCATATTGGCAAAAAAACTACAAAAGTGACAAATACACAAGTTGTATATGTATATACAACTTGTATATAGTATTAATGTATATACGGAAAGAACGATCATGCTGAAGTATCTAAAACTTTAACTAGACAGTTGAAAAAATAATTACATATATAGGAATCTGAAGCACGATGATAAGTAATGTTTGAAAAAATTTTGTCATCCTTATACAAATTCATCAATTCGAGCCATATAATTATTTTAATCCAACAAAATTATTTTTAGATCAATATCTAACTAAATTTTTTAATATTTCAGCAAAACTGTCTTTTTCGTGTACAGCAAAATAAATTATTTCGTAGTTATTGCAATTATAAAATACAAGACAGGCTGTATATAAATCGTAAGTCACATCGCGACGGATGTTTTGTGACGTTTCATTGCGTGCTTGCGTAAAATTAAATTGAGGATTTCTCGTTCATGTGTTGCAGCTGTCCGGACTGGTGGTAGGTGGCATCGGTATCTGGACGGTGGCAGCGAAGCACAGCTACGTGTCACTGATGTCCACGTCGACGTATCCTACTTTGGCCTACGCCTTGATCGTCGCAGGTGTACTGGCTGTCATCGGTAGCTGGCTCGGATGCGGCGGCGTAACTTCTGAAAATCGATGTGTCCTCCTCGTGGTGAGCTTTAGTCATATATCAACGTTCAACGGGCGAAATAATTCCTACAGCAAATATCAATTTTATCGAAACATTGAGATGGATATATATGAAAAATATTCGTTTATTTATTACGTGTTATTTATTAAATTCGTTTAATTGATCGAGTTAACTCGTTCCGTTTCATTATTCGACTTTGTATACGGTGCTACGTTTATTACATCCAGAATTGATTATAATTACTCATTAATCATCGCCACGTCCGAATTACATTAATCGACTTCCAGAAACCGATGTGGGAAGTGTTACTGCAGAGTTTGACGCGAAGTAATATAGTCGGATCGATTACAGTAATAATCCCGTTCCATGCATATTCTGTCAATTCTCGTAGAGATCTTAATTCATTTGATGATAAATGACAAATAAATTATGTGATCCGCTTTGCTTTTATCCCACAAGTAGATGGTTTTCCACTAAAATGACGATAAATAACAAGTTTGCCAACTCTGACTTCATTATCACTCAAGGAAATCGCGCGTATGTTTTTCGTCCATTTTATCGATTTAAGAGAGAATCATTTATCAACAAGATGGTATCATCCAAGTAATTAATTTCCCGGTTTGCAAGCGAGAGATCGAGATATGTCACGAGAATGTCTTCCTGAAAAAGCGAAGAAGTGTAGATATCAAAGTTGAGTATCGGATACAAACGAGGTATCGCTCTTAAAGGTACTTCTTATCGGGGATGCTAGATGTGCTTTTATGCGCGCGATCGTCCGCAATGTCGTGATACATTATGGGCTGCTGTTTGCAATCGATATCATGTCGAACACTTCAGTCGGTTATCGAAAGTCATCTCGCAACCATCTTGACAATATGTCTCGTTTATAGCCTGTCGGTTATAAGAAAAGATAAGGCAAGTGAAATTTCAAATTGATGCACACAAAACGTTTTTTATATTCAAGAATTCATTTATATAGAATTATACATATTTAAAGTAGAACCAAAATTATCTCGGAAAAGAAGGGCTGTTTCGTATAAAAATAAGTATAAAAAATAAGACAAGAGATGAGATGCAATAAGTTTCCTCCGCTTCTTTCTAGATTGTATCACAATTTCGATTGCATCTTTCACGGAGCGTATAAGCCATAGGGCTTCTGAAATAGAATGGACCAGATATCAGAAACTGGTATAGATACGAAGACTGCAGATGAAAGAGAGAGAGAGAGAGAGAGAGAGAGAGAGAGAGAAAGTAATATAGATACATATCTACACAGAGCAATATTTAAGCCAAGTTGGTCACAGAGAGAAGCTGCATACACGCAATATGAAAATGACTTCTGCGGTAGCTGCAGTGTGAAGTTATTAAACAAAGTTCGTATTAACTGTCTAATGGACGGTTTCGTACTAACATCAATTAGCTCTAAGTGTAGTTTAATTAACTCTCTCCTTTTAAATCATGATTCTGTTTATAACAGATAGGCAAACAGAGAACATTCAATTAACTATTGTTAGCAACTGCTTTTGAGGCCGATTAAATTTCATGTATTCCTCTGAAATCTTCACTTTGCGCTGGTTATACTGTCGACTTGAAAGTATCCTTTCATCTTATTTAACGATCATTTGCCAATGTCAATTGACGGTGGATTCTTCAAGGGACTTCAAAAGAATTTATTTATGCTATTCGTTGTTAACATCGTTCTTTGTAACTTCCTAAGAACAACTTCGTCTCAAAGTAGCTCGAGCACGCTGCTTGAAGTTGAGCCGCTCTTCACCTACGGGTTCGAACATTCCTTTGACTTAGCTGAGCGGCTTCAACATTATTGCTCAGGGCAGTCTTTGTTAGTTGGAAGCCAGTTAGTTACGTGACCAGCAAAAAAAAAAAACAAACTGTAGGATTTACGCGAGTAAATTAAAAATCGTTATTCAACGCAAACTAATTCGACAAAATGAACTATTGTTCACTAATAATGTTCATGCACTAATATTCTTGATCGCGATAATGTTATATTCCGGTCCAAAGAGGCTTCGCAATCTCGTTGCAGTCTTAGTTGTTATTTTTATATATTTTATAATTTATTTTTTTGATAATGACAACGCTATAGTTGACAGTCAAAAATTATTTTTAATCAAACAAGATGTTTTTTTATTAGATTTTTGAAAATAATACCAATACAAATCAAATTTCATCAGCACGTTAAGTTTCCAAAATAATTGAGATTAAATTGAAGTTTTTGCAAGATTTGAAATTTTTTGTAAAAAAAGATTACTTACGTTATCTTGAAATTCTGATCTGAAGTCATGCCCATATTGCATGTATTTTATAAAATACATTTTTTAATTTCAATATCTTACTTTTTAATCATGTTATGACGAATTTAAATCGGAGTTTTGCTAAGATAGTAAATTGTCCGCCCAAGACGAAATTTGTATTTATAACTTATGGTTTACGACTATCGATGCACATAATACATAGAATGCAGTTTTTAGTATAAAATGTAATTTGCGGATTAATCGTTAGTGCGATGCTATTTTTGTTCCATTGCGTGAGCGAGAGCGTATTTTCGCGTTTCCGCAAATTTCACGCTTCCCGAGCGCGCGCGGTCGCTAAAAATACGCGGCTTTGGCCTTCAACGACGTGCAGGAAACCCCTTACCTCTCTTGGGTTATAAATGAAAAATCGATAATCCCGCCACCGATTACAATGAACCGTAATGTCGATATGAGATAATTCACCGTGCTGGCGACTCTCTTGGGCGCCGGATCCGCTCTCCCTCAATAAGTCGCTACTAACAATGTCCGACCTCCTCCTTTGAACCTTCAGGTAAGGGAAGTTCTCGAGCTCGCCTTTGACCTTACCCATAGTCTTCCACCTCCGACATTATCGCCGTCGGCCGACAAAGTCTCGACGATGCTGCCCGAGGCCGACTGGAGCTATTGAGGTGCTGGCATATTTTTGAAAGCGGCTTAACCCGCGCGTGCCACCAAGGACGTTATTCATCGGTGATACTCGGCCACCACACATACGCGCGAACACACGTGTGGCTGTAATTTAACATGCATTAATACGAACTTATATAAAGTAAAGCAGGAATATATCGCATCGCGAGAATTCCTTTATTGCGGCGTACATCGTACATCGCTGTGTTTACAGATTATTTAATACGCCCCACGCCGCTGCTTCCGAGGAATACCTGGAACACCTAGAACGAACCGCCTCCTTCGTATGCAGTCTACACCCTCATGCTCCGAGTTTGACAAATTGTGCATCCATGCGTTGTCCCGCGATATTATTTTACAGTCGCCCCGATCCCAACAGGGAGCGATAAACTTTCTCTATAAATTTGCGGTTCAGATCCCATTTTCTTTAGACATTTATGAAATGGTTTAAAGACTACACAGAAATAAGAGTTCTGCTAAAAATTTAGCTAGATATACAAATATCTGAAAATAATTTTATTGAACTATCAAAATAATTATTAAATATGATAGAATCAGACTCCTCAAAAATTAACAAATTAAAGTACCAAAAATTTCAGGAAAGTGGGTAATTAGTGCGCTAATATAATATTAGACATAAATTTATATTGTCTCTTCTGTTAGACATACATTTAATTTCGTACGCGTTTCGACTTGATTTAAATCAAAATAATTATACAGGATAAAGTAAGGTTAGTAGAATGTCAAAACTTTGTGCAGTATCATGCTTGCAGCTCATCACATTTATACTGAGAAAAAATTCTAATTGAAAATGAACGAACCAGTAAGATGCTGATTATATCAATTAATTCCGGTCATCATAATTGGACATTTAATTAGAAAATTCTAATTTACCCATTTTCAACAGGAATTTTTTTTAGTGTAAGAATTTTACTACTATAATTATTTTAATGATCCAACAAATTTATTTTTAGATCTATATCTGCACTGAGAAAAATGTTTTGATTGAACTGACAAATGAGTCCAACAAGAATAGCATTTATGAGGTGAGACAAAACAGAATTTCTAGTTATCAAAAATTTTATTTGATCTTACTGAAATGTCATTCTTGTTGGATCAACTTTTGTTAGTTTCAACAAGTCGGAACATTTTTCTCAGTATAATTAAGTTTTTAAATACTTCAACAAAACCGTTCTTCCCGTTATACTTAACTTTCTTTCGAAGAAATATTACTCCATGAAAACTCGGTTTCCATTCTTCTTATTCACTTAAAGAAAGATATAATATAGGCTACTTCTCATAAATCATTCTTCAATGGAGAACTCTTTATTTCCGGGAATTATAATAGTCACCCACGATAAGCCTATCGAGAGATATATTTAGCGGCCTTCCCCTATCTCCGTTCACATTCCCCCTTTCAGAAAGGGTACCCTTCGCCGGGTAATAAATCGACCTTAATCAGGAGTTACCGCGACGATCGTAAGTGGTAGCTCGCGCTTTCGCTATATCTCCAACGACACAGACCACTGGATTATCTTTAATCCTGCCTAAATGATAGTTAAACACCAGTAACGAGCTTTGCCGATCGTTACTAACCGCGGTGTTCCGCCATGCGGTTTCCCTGGAAATTATGCCGCCACTTCTCATCGCCGCGTCGGTTTATTTCTGTACGCGTTTATAACGTGTATATATGTATAATCCATTGAGATGCAAATATTATTCAATGTCAAGCTTTCTACGATGTGTCTATAAAAAAATTTAGAAAGTGAAGTTTTTAATGATCATCGTAGACATAGACATCTTCACTTGCACTTCAATTAGTTTTCCGAGCGGTAAATCGCTGTTGACTGAGCATTAACACTGTTACTTCCGCGAGGTGTCTAATCGGAGAAATTGAATTATCTTTTATTCAATCTAATCGTCAGTTAAAGTCCTTTTGCCGAGTGGCATTTGCCAATAGGGCCTCTTGTGTGCACAAATCACGATCTTAATTGCATAAGTGCTTGTCTCGAGTACAAGACGAATTATTTTCTTCCCTGCGAACTCAAGAAATCGTCTTTCTTCGTTCATCAATGTGACAAA